ACCCCTCATTTGAATCCAACTTGCAGCAGTCACCACCTTCTCCGCGTGGGTTAATGGTCAAATAACTGAAAAAAGCTGTGGCATTAACATTAGTGACTGTGGCAATAACCCCACCCGGGGTTTCAAGTTCAACTTTCAAGTTTAACTGTAGCTTTGTTCCAATTCCAATGGCGTGGCGTGGCGTGGCTTTCTTGGATCTGTAAATGGAATTTAAAGGCATAAAAAATAATTAGAATTTCCAATCGCAAAGAAAAGAAAAGGGCTATAAATTTGATTTCTCAAAGGTATAAATATAAATATTAGATAATTTAGATTTACAAGAAAAAGTATAAATATTAGTAGAGATTAGATGTATAAAGGTTTAAATATCATTTTGGTCCCTCAACTTTTCATTTTGGCCTCAAAATTGTCCTTTAACTTTAAAAAATACTAAAATTATCTTTTAACTTTCATTTTCAGTACCAAAACAGTCCTGTCAGTTAAACAGATTAGGTGGCAAGTTAAATTGCCAGAATATCAATCTTTATATTTTTTTTTAATGACGTGTAAATTAAAATATTTTTTTATTTATAATCTATAATAAACTTCATCTTCTTCCTCCTCCTTTTCCCTACTCATCCTTCCTTCTAGGTTGACCTGCTCATGATTGAAGATGTCTCTCGAAAATCGCTTATCATTCTCGCTGCTAAACACTAATGTTGTTCCTCATAGAATTCCCTAAATCCCTTGTAATCTTAAATAGCCCCAGATTTCTTCAAACCCACCTGCAAACACCATTGTCGAGCAGATTTATCTCTGCAAATGCAACAGATAAACACTCATTTAGGATCTCCTATCTCATGAATTGATGTGGGTTTTCTCCCCAATCTGCTCTTTTGCTTTCCAAAAGAGTTCAATTTGAAACCCAAAAATTCTCAGAATCGCTCATTGACTTCTTGAGCAATCATGGGTTCTCGCAAACCCAAATCTGAAGCTTCATCCAGAAATGTCCAAACTTTCTTTTGTACAATCTTGAGAAATTCCATTTCTCCTTCCTCTTCAGATCTGGGTTCTTTTGTCGATTACCAATACCATGAACCATCGGCAATCATGGCTACCCTGTGGCTAAACCGACGCGCAGGATAAGTCGATCACCATCATAGCACGGTTTCCCTTACTTAAGCTTGACTAGAAGCGCAGAACTCGTTGGGTTCACATTTGGGAAGTATGAGCTAGATAAAAAGGGGAAAACAAACAAGCAAGAAAATATTCCAAAAACCTAGAATTTGGAAAAACAAGTAGTTTTGGTGGGAAATGGAGGAGTTTCTGGACACATCTTGTCACTTGGGAGGATTCTGGTGGTGAAGGAGTGAGACGAACCACGATTAGATAAGAAGTTGGTGTGATGTGCGTGGTACCATCGAGGCTAGCAAGTTTGGTTTGAGAACCTAGATTTGGGTTTGAGAAAAACCCAGATTTGGAGAGGAAGAAAAAGGGAGAAGAAGAAAAAGGGAGAAGAGAGAGAGTTTCTCTTTGTTCTTGGTCTCCCTAAAGAAGAGAAACTCATGCAGGTGCCTTTCTTTTTTGGCTGGAAGAATTGCAGAAACCAGTTCCTCTAGGAAGAAGAGATTCATGGGATTAACAATGAGTTTTGGAACAGAGATTGGGTTGGTTTGATAACCCAGATCTAGGTTTGAGGAAAACCTAGATTTGGAGAGGAAGAAGAAGGGAGAAGAGAGAGAGAAAGAATAAGAAGAAGAAAGAAGAAAGATGAGCAAAAAAAGGAATAAGGAAGGTTGATAGAGAAATGAGAAGGCAACTGTCGAAGGATTAAGAGAAGAAAGGAGGAAGAAGATGAATTTTTTTTTTTTTTTGGTTGAAAAATTGTAAAATAATGATAAAAATGCCAAGTCATAAATAAAAAATTATTTTAGTTTACATGTCATTTAGAAAAATATATAGGGATTGATGTTGTGGCAATTTAACGTGGCACCTGTCAATTTAACTAACGGAAGGACTATTTCGGTATCGAAAATGAAAGTTTAGAGATAATTTTAATATTTTTTAAAGTTGAAGGACAATTTTGGTTTGAAAGTGAAAAGTTGAGGGACCAAATGGTATTTAAACCGATGTATAAATATTACTAGAGATTAGATTAAAAAGAAAAGTGTTTATAAGTGGAATTTCTAAAAATTAAATGAAAAAGTTTTAATTATATTTTTT